AAATGACAGACTCTCGAATACCGTTAAGAATTCATATAAATTTTCTCAAAGGATCCAGAACATTGGGTTATTGGGGACGGAACTGTTGGTGAGTATCGATGTACAATCCTTGTACACAAGCATTTCCGATGAAAAGGCAATAAGCACCCTGCTGGAGATACTGGAGCGAGAGAAGGACATCCGGGAGGCAGAACGGATACGGAAAGAATAGTTTACACGACTGATCAACCTGACAGTAGGGAACACATATTTTACATTTAACGGCAGTATCTATGACCAAATATTTGGACTACCGATGAGATCTTCACTCTCACCTCTTTTGGCAAATGTGTACATGGACAAGTTTTGGCAAGTTCAGCATTGAACCTAATCAATGCAAGCAGTACCACAACGTTTGTGGGTTGGCACACAAGAGGCTAGGGCATGGCAAGTCATAGACTTGGTATTAGAGATAGAAACAGGATAGACGCGGCGGAGACTGGAGCTAGTTGGCTGACAGTTTTACCAGAGACGTGGTCCATGTAGCAAAGGCATGACCTTGGGACTTACTCAGGGGCTTTAGCCTCGAATCAATTACCCGGGATCAGGGGATGGGCAAATTACGCCTCGAATAGCACAGATGGGGGGGCAGGGGTCGAGTGTAATACGTGTACCAGGCAGATTCAGACGGATTCTACGGGGCAAGAAGAAGACTATGATAGGACCCAAGTAAGGAGGACTACGTAACAATATGGCAGATTTTGATCAACATTCCCAGCACAAGAGTGAAGGGGGTTAGGACGACAGCGTGGAGTGTGAAGGGTTTTCATGAATCCCGCTCAAAGGAGCACACCACAGTACATCTAAATAGGCATGGTAAAAAATTGTGACAGTGAAGATGTGATAGGAGGATATAGGAAATGTGAATAGCCCAGAGGAGATGGGGAGATAACACAACAGTTTAGCACATGTTTGGTCAAAGGATAGGATTACTTGTCTCTTTGACGAGTTGTTGTATGGTTCTAAGAATGGCGAGACTGAGTGATTTTGCCCACTATGATGTCGGCGAAACGTTTGGGAATGTACCACGCCCAGGGTCCGACTTTGGAAAGTATTAAGCATACAATGGACTCCGGACTTGGTGCGTTTCTCTTCCTACATATATGACCAAATTGCGAAAACCAGGTCAAACAACCTATATGATTTCGAACGTCTATGTGAGGCAAGACAAACAGATGGACCACTTCACCAGGTTCCAGACATTACCATCCTATCCTCTCCGGAAAAGTATAGGCAATTTATGAAATAAGTAACACTTCAGAACAACGATTAAAGAGGATGAAGTTAACTAAATTTAAAATAGCTGGGTAAGGTTACCAGTACAAAAATCAAAATGTTCGAATATATAGCTCAAATAATACCCTAGATAAACTTGTCTATAACCAAATGCCAATAGAATTTTGAAACAATACAAGTAAGATGAAGATTGCGGAATCTACACAAAGCAACTAATCGGCCAACACCCTGAAAAGAAGGATTTATGTAGGAAATTGAGCGGAAATTACTTTTGGCTGTTGGGACGAGATCGAGATTACGCCCGAGCGAGAGGAGAATATCTCAAATATGAATAGAACTTTCATACCGCAAACGACTCATGAGCATTGCATGCCCACAACATATAGACAAGCGAACACAATTGCATGCGTAAAAATTGCATGACCAAAGATACGAGTGATGTAAGCGAGGATGTACATCATGGTCATGTGCAGCAGCTTCACTTATTTACCTAAGACTCGTATGTACAAAACTAGTCACAACTCCAAAGAAATTATCCATTGGCCTCTAGCGAGGAGAAGAAATAAATTGCTTTCAGTAGCCTTTTCAGACGAAATGCAAAGCAGAATAAGAATAAAAACTATACTTGTCCTCAATTCTACCAACGCAGCACAGATATATAAGCCAGCGCATGTACATTCCAAATGAGAAAAACATTGAATAATGCCATGATTGCGATGTCAAAGAGCTTGTATTGGGAACGGAGGAGAACCAATGGTCGGTTGGTGCAACAAGCCCCAAGACCGAATATGTCTTTGTCCCATCATGGAATCTAACTATACCATTTATTCCAGCAGTGGTTATCATCTGTAAAGGAGTGCAGTTTCTAGACAACTTATATATAGTGTCGGTTCGACTTCGTTTTATTAACTTGGTCGAAGCATTAGGGGGACATTGTGGAACATACTTAGTCCTGTGTCATCTTCCATAGTATTCGTGATTTCCAGTATCGGAGCATTTAGTTAATACATTACCAAACGTTTCGCTAGCATCGTAGTGAGAGATGCCATCGTCAGCATAGAGTTACAACTTAGCATACTGACAAGTGAAGGCAATCCCCTTAACTACTTTTCAGTTCGCCCCTTTTAGCATCACACCACGCCCTATTTTTTGTTCTGCCTTCTAGTGCTGCATCTCCTTCTCTGAATCTTACTTCATATGGGCAATCTATCTATTCACACATTCCTGTGCTCTCGTTTCCTCCAATGTTGCCAAAAAGTGTTTCGCTACAAATTGATTTAGTGAAACATAATTATCTTCAGCACTGGTTATAGATGCCTTTTGCAGGGCTCCTGACCTTCATTCAGCCTCCCTTCTTGACCCCGCTTGACAATTTGTCGATGCTAAACATCAAAATCACTTATAATTCTTTTATAAGTAGGGGTTCAAAACTACCAGTAATTCATTTGAGATGTATTCACTATTTTTCGAGTAAGGTGACATAGGACTGATAATTTAATTTTCCAATAATGATATGAGTAAAGCCCTGTAATCCAAGGGCACTCGTGGTAATGTGGGACAGAGGCTAACGTGGCGAGACTACATGCTACATTGTCATGGTTTGAGTCCCGCTCGGGGTATTGTTAAGAACTAGAGCAGGTCGTTAAAACATTTGGGAATGTATCAAGTCAATGGTTCGATGCTGGACATCATGAATACTATTGCAGAGGACACATGACTAGTTAGGCTCCACAAGGTCTCCCTGACGCTCCAAGTTGCGAAAATGAGGTCAAGCTAACACTAAAATGTTAAATAAGACTGAGACCAAACAGAAGGCCAGACCATATTGGTCCTCATATCTACACTTACGTATAGTTTTCACCAGGAATAGGATACATTATTTAGGATAGCATACTCCGAACTTTATCCCAAACTAATGCTTGCCTTCCCTGCGCATTCTCACTAAAGATGAGGCCAGGCTTTATTTGAATCCCTTATAACTTTAAGCAAATGGCGAAAGAAGCGTCTCATTTTTGTTCTCAAACATATCTCATGAGTATGGATTATGTTAGTTATTACTTTTTAAAATCAAAGAAATATCGAGACTACAACTGATTGTTAATAAGAACCAATCAATGACATAAATCGAGCATTGAAATTTCATGGAACCAATAACAGAAGAATTCACACAATAACGTAAGTATCCTATAGAAGTAATTTAGCAGTATCGATATTTAAAAACATGAGATGGCCAGCACGAAGAGCACAGCAATAGATACGTTTTCCGAGCAAGTTTATTAAACGAGGTCAAGCCAAATGTAAAGAACTTAAGCAGAATAGGACCACAAAGAAAGTTAATCTGGCTAGGCCTTTACTTTAACGCAGTCTTTAAGTTATACACTTGGATTAAATTTTCTTATGAAAATTTATCATAGCTGCAGGAGAACATAAGTCATGAAACCAAAGAAACTTATTGAACTGTTTATGCAATCAACTAACGAATATGGGAAGATGAATGTAGGAGCTGTAGATATGTATAATCAAGATGCGGAAACGAGTATTAAAATCTTTTAGAAAGCTTGAATAAAAGTGGCTTGAAAGACTATAAACTATAAAGTAAATAAAAAATATTAGGAAATTACGCCATCCCAGCAGTTTATGAAAACAAACCTCGAAAGTGAGCCTCATCCATGCAGGATCGTATAGGTTCCAAGGATGATGAATCGCATCGCTCAAGTAAGTCTTAACGAATCGGATTGTTGGTGCAAATTGGAGTTTTATTTGCTGATGTTCAGATGCCATTAGACTAGTGCACTCATACCTAATGGAAATAATATAATATCCATAGTAAATCAAAAGTAATCTACTCCAAATACTAAAAAAATATAAACATATATCAAAGTAAAACGAAACGTATTGATTAGAAACGAAAACTCTCAATATTTACTGGGAATTTATTTGATTTAAAAGATATATACAAGTATTACTTACTTATTGATATCTATGTGCTCACCGATATCACTCCAAAGCCTCGCATATTTCACCGGACTTACTATCTCTTGAGGGTCCCGGTCAACATAGAGATTCAACATTAAGCGACAAAATGAAGCTCTTAGATCGGATGGTAAGCTAGCATCTTCCATACACCTAAAATAAGTAAAGTAATTGGTGTTATCAAACAATATGGCACGAGTAAAATTTTAAGTCAAAGCATTATTGTGAAGATGAGATGTACATTTGAAAAACTATTTATGTTTAAAGGAAAGAGATTGATTATTATAGTAAAAATAAAAAATTACGAAAGTAAATATTACAGCTAAAGTATATATATGACGCGGAAAATAACAACAGTAAAAGGCATAAATGTTAATAGTGTTTATTAAAGCATTTTTTCGTTCAATTTGACTACTTAGTCAATTTGGTAATGTATAATACATATTTTATCTTCAATGGTAAGTTGTATGATCAGACACTGGGATTGGTTATAGGTTGTTGTTTAGCCCCTATTTTAGCTAATAACTACATGGTCCAATTAGAAGTTAATGTGTTTCAAGAGACACTCATATTTCCCAAGTTATACGTTTGTTATATGGACGATTACGTTGCTGTTTGGCAATACTGCAAAAATAGTTTTGGGGAATCCCTTGAGCTAATAAATAGAATAGATGCAAGCAAAATGTTTACCATAGAGCTATAAAAGGAAAAAAAACTGTATTTTTTTGGATGTATTAGTAAGCAAAGAAGGTAATAAATTAGGTAGAGACGTATACAGGAAACCAATTCCCGCGGGATTCCTTACTAATTGTTTCTCCAACTATACATATAGAGTAAAAATATGAATTATGTAGTCTATGATAATAATAAGGAATCTGCGTCTAGCAGATGCAAGCCATAGGGAACAGGACATTGGTAAATTAAAAGATATACTGTTTTAAAACAATTATCCATTAGAATTAGTAGACAATTATATATCAATTGTAGCTAACAAGACTAGAGGAGTTTGCTATCAGGTGCGGAATAGACAACTCGGTTCCTGATTTTGCCTTCCTGTAAACTTGCTAAAAAGTTGGGTCATCTACTGATTAAATGAAACATAAAAACAATGTATAAAGAGTAATTAACATTTTCTTCGGTAGTTCCCTCATTTAGAGAATATTTAGAGTCTTTCTGGATCATGCTGTTACAAGATTTTGCGCTTATGTGGTAAGGTTTATGTGGAGGAGACCTGCCGACCCAATCATAGGAGACAATGCGAATAGAAAACCGCTGATAAGGTTTGTGGATCCAAAAATCTGAGCCAGCTGAACACATGGCCAAAACAAGCACTCAATAGACTCATCCAAAACACAACTTTTTGCATATTACGGGGCGTTTACGTCAAAGTGTAAGATTAGGTAGTCTATAGAAGTTAAAAAAAACAGCCTACGTGCAGAAAACTAAGTAGCAACTATTTATGGTTGTTGGATAGACTTAAGGAAAGGAAGAGAGAGGGGATGCAGGAAGAGCCACTGAGCAAGAGAAAGAGGCTGGATAAACCTCGAGTCTAGCTAGGACTATCACACTTCCCATAACATGAGAATTACATACACACAATATACAAAGCACAAGTCTAAACATGATTCTACATTAGACGATCGTACGCTAGTTTTTTGTGTAGCGAAACAGCCTCCACCAAACGCACTTCCTGTACGGGAAGTTAACTTCAATCATTTGCAAGAATGTAAAGTAAGGTTGAAGTAGCCAACCAAATCAAGAAAGGCCTCATTAAGATCGCGATGTTAGATGCATAAAAAGCGACTATTTCGTAAAGTATCGAATCTTGTTTTAATGACATACGAAAGCTTAGCACAATTTTATCGGGGTCGCAGATCGATGAGCGGAGGACTTCTTCGCACAATTCAGCAGTCTTCCTTACGCGGCAATCCTCTTTCGGTTTCCGTTGAGACCTTATCACGAATTCCTTCCAACCCACTTTTCCTTCGATATGGAGATTCATGTCACACTTCTTTTAAAAGACTTAATGAAGGCCCCAACAGATAAAAATAACCCGAACGATAAAATACTAATTGGCCAACGTTACCTGATTATGAGTGATATAGGTAGTTTCTGAGTGAGATAATTGATAGCAATATACTGACGTTCCTGGCACATACGAGCATAAAGATCAATCTGCTGGCGATAGTAGTTAAGCAGTTGTCTCGCTTTAAAGCCGTAGCTGCCAAGAAGCAGGCGGATATTTACGCAGGACACTAGGTCTTTAGAATGGGATAAAACCGCAGCTGCTGCTTCAGAAAGCTCTGAGAGACTGATTTCGGCAGGGTAGATGTGCTCCTAAATAAATGTGAAAAGTCTGTGATTAGAGTTTATGAGAAACAGGAGAAAGTGGCAATTATTCATTTAAAATGTTAGATAATATTAACCGATCTAGGTTTATTCGTAATTAACGAAGGAGGCAATCCCGAGACACCATAAAAGCATTTTAAATTTTCTTAATCTTGATAATAAAAGAAACAATCTCCCTCATTTTGATCATGTGACATGTAACATGCATGTGAAATGAAAGTATTTTCAATAGTCTGGTCGAAATTATCAAATACAAATAACAACTTATATTGCTTTACTTCTATTCTTGAGCATGTGTTTATTTAAGCTGGTTCCAATGCCAGAGTTGAATGAATAACCTATATTTAAGGATAAACCCACTCTGAATATATAAACACAAAGCATTTCAAGTTAGTTTAAGGTAAAAATAAGGGAAGCAGAAATAAAGATGCAAAGAAAGACTTGAGTCGTTTTTTCTTATAAGATTTGAAGTCTGGGGCATCTGATACCTTTTAAGCCTAAAGATAATTCAAACAGGTTCAAGCAAGTGTAGACCATGATATATAAACGAAAATGCCCGAGTACCAGTCAATAAATTGATAAACGTAGGCGTCATACTAAAGCAAACATTATCAGGTCAAGTACGAGAGCGAGTCAGCCCAGATGAGGGGGGAAATACAATGGGAATAGTTTGATGAAGCGATCAAAAGCAATGTATAAAAATATACCAAAAAAGAAACTATAGTAAATTGATCGAAGGTATGAAGACCAAGATGATGTGGCCTTTTGTATTCGCAA